GGTGTAGGTCAAGTTCATCAATTGTATCAGATAAATCTTTTTTGCCTCTTCTTTCTTCTTCTAGTTGAGCTCTGATCATCTAGTCATTGAAGCCAGGTCAAGTGGGTATTATCTGCAAGTGTGGGTGTTCTTATGCATATGCCTTCTCTTCTTATCAGCTGGACACTTCACTCTCCACTCTAGTCCTCTGTGGCTATGTCACTGACTCTGGCCGAAGAGTCCCCAGGTCTTGCCACACTGCTGGCCAACCAGGTCTCCACCCGGGTTCACAGGAGTCTATTGAACGTTGTAGGGCCTAGTTCACAGCTTCATTGCCGTTTTTCCCTCACTTCCCCTTTTTGGTGACAAACGTGGTCACCAATCAGAGCGTGTATTCCCACTGAGTCTCAGTGTTGGAAGAGGGTTTGCTCTGAGGGGACTTGGCCACTTGCATTGATGTCTCCTGGGTGAGCAACTTGCTTGTTTTTGTAGTAATCAGTCCATCTGCCTATATTGTTGTGCATTTTTCCTGTTGGTCTTTCTTTCAAGAAGTATCTTCTGTTCTTCTAGCCACTCCAGGCTGGTCTGCCTGTCTTTTCAAGTGGAACCACATTTACTTTCTATTCCCTCACGATCAACATTCCTGTTCTGAGACTGCCTCCTCTCATGCTGTATCAGTAAGGAACATCCCTTTCCTCCATCAGGGAAACAACCACTGATCCTTTAAGTTCCAAAAGTCATCCCCGTTCAAAATTTCCCAACCACTTCTCTTTCTTAAGCAAAATTTTTCTTTCTTTCTTCTTTATTCAGGATTTTACATACAATTTTGCATTATCCATCTGATTAAGTACTACAGAAGATACTTCAAAAAGTTAGTGGAAAAATGGAATTAATAGATAATGAAATATTACAATGAACTTTTTCAAGATTCTTCTAATACTTACTTAGGAGTCCTGGTGTGGCACTGTGGGTTAATGTGCTACACTGCAAGGTCAGTTTGAACACTTCAAGGTCAAGCTTACAAGATGCTCCTTGGAAACCCTATACAGGGTTGCTATTAGTTGGAACTGACTCATGGCACTAACAACAACATCCAAAGTCTTAACTCTCATCATTATTCGCTTGTTGCTGTTGTCAAGTGCCGTGGAGTCGGTTCCAACTCAAAGTGACCCTGTACAGGGTTTCCGAGACTGTAAATCTTTACGGGAGCAGAAAGTCTCATATTTCTCCTGTGGAACAGATGGTAGTTTCAAACTGCGGACCTTGCAGTTCACAGCCCAATTCGTAACCACTAAGCTACCAGAGTTGTTGTTGTTATGTGCCGTGGAGTCAGTTCTGACAACCTGTACAGGGTTTCCGAGGCTATAAATCTTTACAGGAGCAGAATGCCTAGTCTTTCTCCCATGGGACAGCTGGTAGTTTCGAACTGCTGACCTTGCGGTTCGCAGCCCGATTCGTAACCACTACACTACAAGAGTGGGACCATGCAAATAGGACTCTAATGCCGGGATTGGTTAGTTTTGCCATCTACTGGAGTCCTGATGTGGCGCTGTGGGTTAATGCACCAGACTACAAAGTTGTTTGAAGTGCAAGGTTGGCGACTGAAGCTCACCAGCTGCTCCTCGGAAACCCTATACAGGGTTGCTATGGGTCGGAATCTATTCAACGGCACTGAACAACAACAACAACAAGGTTTAAAAGCAGCCACCTCAGAAGCAGGAACAGACAATCTCAGGACCATCAAGAAAAAAGAGATACAAGTGGGGCTAGGCTGCGGCAGCAAACACATCGAAGCATGGAGAGTCAGAAGTATTTTCCCAGACCACAGAATGAGTAAGAATGAGTGCCTTGGGGCCTTGGGGCAAGAGGCTGGCCTGCAGAATGTGCCCCTTGGGCATTTATGCTTTGCTAAGTGCTGTTAAGCCCGCTACTACTCAAAATGACCCAGTATAGGGTTTCCAAGGAGCAGCTGGTAGGTTTGCAGTTAGCAGTTCAGTTTTTATCCTACAGCACCACACCAGGTCTCCTGGGCATTTAAAGATACAGGTAACAAAAACCTCTAGTGGAGCAGTGCAGAGGTTGAGGGGGCACAAGGCTGAGAAGCAGAAGACAAGAGCGAGATATGCCTGCAGTACGACAGAGAAGAGCTCTTCCTGACGGGAGAACTGCTGCACCCCAAGTTGTTTCTGATCCTGAATCACTCCTCTAATAAACCCCACAATCCTAAATATAGTCTGTGAGTTCTCTGTGGCCATTGCAAGGGATTATCAAATTCAGATGGAAGTGGAAAATGCTGTGGGAGGGATGGTTGGCATCAGAAGAAGGTAAAAGTAGGCTCTAGGGTGTAGGCTTGCCTGGCCTCTGCTTCATAGGAATCAAGTTTGGGGCAAATTTTTAGTCTGATTCTCCTTCCCCCTTGTGAAGGCAGAGACATGGCCTCCCTGCCCTTTTGCAATCTCTCTCTTCTATTAAACGGATGCTCCTCAGTCCACCGGAGAAAGATGAGGCTTTCTGCTCCCGTAAAGATTTACAGCCTCGGAAACCCTGTACAGGGTCACTATGAGTCAGTTCCGACTCCACGGCACATAACCACCACCACCTCAGTGATAGGGAATGTGACTCCATTCCTGTTTCCAACAACACTCAGCACAGTACCTATTATACAATGATCTTAATATGTTACTGACTACATATAACATTAAACCGCATATTCAGTTATTGTTTCATAGCATTATTTCCCACTGATTAATTTTCTTCTAACAAGTCTCTAAAAAGCCAGTTTTACTGTGGTGCTAAAGCTTAATGACTAGAAATAGAATCAGATTTCTTGAGTATGAGATTCACCTCTACAGATTGCCTAGGATGAGAAAGTTTGGACAAATAAGCACTGGACTGTAAAGTCCATTTGAACCTACCAGTTGTTGTTGTTGTTGTTAAGTGCCATCGGGTCAGTTCCAACCCATAGTGACCCTCCAGTAGCTTCTTGGAAATCTTATACAAAGTGTGTCAGACAGACAGCTATGAGTTAGAACCAACTTGATGGCACTTAATAAAGTTAACCTAACTTGTCTATAAAATAGGGAGGACAGTCATCCTGGTACCTACTTCATAGAATTATCACAATTAAAAAAGATAATATATAAGCACTGCAACTCTTTTTGATCCTCCTTTTTTCCCTATGCTAGCCTGAACTCCCTTTGACTCAGTCTAGTGAAGCCCTAGTTCATTATGAATTCACTGCAATTTTGCATTATGTGGACTAGCCAAAAGGTTTATGGTTTTAAAGTAGTTGAAGTCACCTTCTTCATCTTTAGTCAATGCTCACTGCCAAGTTTGGGCTCAAAAGAAGTCTTCCCTTGGAGGACTGACTACACAAGTGTGTCTCTATTGTACAATATGCTGATTTTCTTACTATATTTTTGTGCTCTACCAGAAAGTGGTGAAAACTAAAAAGCAGCATTCCCAAATTTACTAATGCCTAACTGTTTGAACTGCAAGGTCGGTCGTTCAAACTCATCACTACTCCTGAGAAACCCTACAGAAGTGCTGGAACTAAACATGACAGCACTTAACAACAACACAGCTCAATACTGGCTGATACATGCCCACAAACAACCTGTGTGCAGACTATTTCCCAAGCAAGAAATTTTCCTGGAACCCACTTTGCTTCTGGTCTCAGACATGGCTCATTCTCCCCAGATTCCTTCCCTGTGGAACTTGGAAGCTAAGGCACCACAACCCATTTACTTCTTTAAAATGTAGCAGCTCTTATTCCTAAATGTCAGGATTTCAAATTGTCATTTCATGCCTCTTCAGGCTAAAAATGCATAGCTCCCAAAATTCTCAGAATTGATTCTTCCAACTGTAAAAGTTTTAACAAGTTTGGTGGGTGTTGAAAAAAATACACAAACCCTAAAATGAAGATCAAATACTAAGTCTATACAGCCAAAGTCTGGGGTTGGGTCACGAAATAAACATTTAAAAATACCTAGCTGGCTAAAGCGACCAAAAACTCTAGCCAAAGTACTGCTCATTACAAAATAATCTCAAAATAAGTAGGGTATGTCATCAAAAGAGCACACGTGTACACTGCAAAATATCTTAAGTTCACTACCATGATTTTTTTAAAATTACTTGGTATATCCAAGTCCATACTGAGAGAAATAAATGGTTCCCCGTTTTGTACTTCCCTAGTAGGTATACGTTAATATAAAGCAGTTCTTAGTTTTTACCAGGCTAAAAGCATTAATGAGAAAATAATGGAGATACATTAATGACAAAATAACACACGAAGTTATACATGGAGGGGTTGGATTAGAAAGCCAAGACTCGAAAAGAACAATACCCGAGCGCTGACGGTCAGTCTGAGGCCGATAAATGTAAGAAATGATGAAGAAGCAGGCTGATGGAGTGTGATATTGTTTCCAGACTGGAGATAGCGCTGAAGGCCAGTGAATACGACTTCACTTCAGCACCCGCTCAGCAGCCAGCGTTGGAATCAGAAAACTCAACAGTCGCCCGCTCCGCGGTGCAGGGCAGAGACCCCCTCACGGCTCGCGTCCGGCGCGAGGAGCCGCCCCCTCCCCAGCCCGCCGCTCGGGCCGCCAGCTGACCTCTTCCCGCCGGCCCAGGCACGGCCGCCTGGCCCTCCGCACGCCCCCCATCACTGCGCCGAGGAAAGGAAGAGGAGGGCAGGGGCCGAGGGACGGGGCGGAGGGGCGGCGGCAGCACTGCAGGCCGCGGTGCAAGGCTTGAGGACTGCGCGGATTCAGGAGGAGGGAGCCTGAGCCTCCAGCGTCGGCCACAGATGGGAAGGGGCCGCGGCTGATGCCCGGGCCGCAGGTGTCGGCGGCTGCCGGGGAGTCCCCGGCGGCACAGGGCGATGCCTTGGCCCGGAGCTCCCACCTCCATCCCGCCGGCTGTTCTCCTCCCTCATCCAGTCCTGTCCATCCTAGAGATTCTGTCAGACTCCAACGACCTCCACACGGCCCGCCCAAGCACAGAAGTAATGCCTCTCTTACCAGAGGAGCGGGCGCCGCGCCGCTAGGAGGCGGCTGGGGTGCGCGCGGGAGACACCGAAGCGAGCGCCGCCGCCGCCACGGGAGCGGGAGAAGCCACACGACGCTGCCGGCGAGCGCGCTGCCTCCAGAGCCGAGGTCCCACCCCCTCTCCTGCAGGATCCCAAGCCTGCAGCCCCCCCGCCCCTGCCCGAGGGGAGGGCGAGAGACGACGAGAGGCACACCGTGCGGGGTGGAGCCGAGCCCTGGTTGGTCTTACTTGGCATCTGGGGGCCCAATGGGGATCCGGAAAAGCCAGACTGAGTTTAGACGGACTTTCCTTCTAACCAATGGCCATGGAGAGGCAGGTCCAAAGGGGGCTTTAGTGCCGCCTTAATGTGGAACCTGGATATAAGGAAAGGTTGGTTGGTTTGCACTGGAGCCCAAATGGTCCAATTACCGTGGGAAAAGAGGTCTCTGAACCTAGATTGGCGTCCTCTCTGCCTATCGGGTAGGCCCAGGGGCGGTGAAACCTGCCCCGGATGTGGGCGCGGCCCTGAAGGTAGACCTGAAGAGAGTGTCTACCGCGGTCGTTTGGAGAGGCGGAACTGATTCTCTTTCTCAATTATATCATGTGATGGGTTCTGGATTTAATGGGGGGAAAAGTGTGGGAAAGACCAAGGATCCGAACTGGCGAATTTCCTGATCTTTCCTCCCCTCTCCTCTCTCCGGCCAGCGGCTCTGTGAGGTGAGTCCGGGGCCTGAACCTAGAACGGGCTGGCCTCCCCACGAAGTGCACTCTCCCCGAACCCCCCGGGGCCCACGAGGGCTCTGAGGTCGCCCCCGACCCCTCACACACTCCAGGCCTGAGACGTGCACACATCTGCTTGGCAATTGGCTTCATTGTGCTTAGTGGATCGTAGCGTACAAAAACCGCATTCAACTCCAAAGTGTGCCGGACCCCCAACTCCAAATGCGGGGAGTCCTGCCAGAGCGTCGCGAGGGGACGAAGGACAAGGACCGTTTAGGGGCGTCTTAGAGACGTGTAGGCCGGCATTGAATACGCTGTTAAGCAGAACGCTGTTCCTGTGACGAATGGTTAAGTTGGCCGGGCTTTTTGAAAGGACTTTTTTATGAAGAGGGATGTTGGTTCACTTGGAAGAGTAACCGTCACTAGCAAGAGAAGGGAGATGCGGGTGGCTTGGGAAGCACTGCAGACGTATTCCTGAGTCTACACTGCTGATCCCGAGATACAGGTAGTGTGGGCAGGGTCCTTTAGATTGCTGCATGGGGGCAGTTCCGAAGCCTGTGAACATACTCTTAACCATCTTCCAGATAACAGAAATACCTACCTTAAACGGGAAACATTTTAGTTGAACTAATTTTCTCCATTCCCTTGAGGGGAGGCAGAGGAAGCAAATAGGATTCCTCAGATTCATGAAGATGTCGTTTTAAAACTGAGGTCTTAAACATCTTAATGGAGTGGCTCTCTGGGATAAGCACTGGACTGCGAACCACAAGGTCGGTGGTTTGACCCCACCAGCCACTCTGCGAGAGAAAGATGAGACTTTCTGCTCCCGTAAACATTTACAGCCTCGAAAATCCTATACAGGGTAGCCTGGAGTCGGAATCAATGCCGTGGCACTTCACAACAAAACATTCCAATCTTTCATGTTTGGAATGTCAGCAGAGTATCCCGTTGGAGGTATTTTAGTCTCTGGGTGCACTTAGGTGTATAGGAACTGTGTTGCATCCTACGCTGTGAAGTTTGTAGCCACGATATGACTGTCCTTTGCAACCTTTACTCCCTGTTCTAGGTACCGATGGTGAATGCACACCTTTTCTAGCACCACTTGCTGCTCTCCTGTATGAGAAAAACAGTGGCTCATTCGATGCCAAAGGGAAACTTAACATTTAAGCTTATTATCCTAACCCTTTCTTTAAGTTAAAGGTTCCACAAAAACAAGATCAGATAGGTTGGAGATCAGAACTGAGCAAATTTAATTGACAGGTACAATCCGTTGGTGGTTATTGATCACCCTCCTTCCCAGTTCAGCCCCACGAGATCTCGTTCCTTAGTAAATCTCTGCAATAATTCCTCTGAGCAGGAAAGGAGACCAGTACAGAAAATGCCTGGGAGCAGGCGCACTTCAGTGTGCAGCAGCAGTAGATAGGTATAGGAGGGGAAAGGTAAGTTAGGAGTCTCACACCACACCACTGCCATCAAACTGATTCCAACTCAGGACAAAATAGGACTGTTTTTACGGTTTCCAAGGCTAAATCTTTACGGGAACAGACAACCTCATCTCTCTACAGCTCCTGGTGGTTGAACAGTTAGCAACCAAATGCTTAACCCAGCACCACTTGGTGCACTACTTGGACTCATAAGTATTGAAATAAAACAAGTATGTTCTTGTAACATGGCATGATAGTTATCTACCATTTAATGTAGTACACATGTAGCAGAGACTATCAAGTTAGTACTAAACTATAATCACTTGATCACTAGTCTTGTGCATTTGTTTTTCCTAGTCTTTGTCAGAGGAGCCCTGGTTGCACAGAGGTTAAGCCGTAAGGTTGGCAGTTGGGACCTACCAGTCTCTGGGAGAAAGCTGTGGCTGTCTGCTCTGTAAAGATTACAGCCACGGGAGCCCTATAGACAATTCCGCTCTGCCCTGTAAGGTCGCTGTGAGTGGGAATTGGGTTCAGTTCTTGCTATGTTGTTCCCAGTTTCTTTACCTTTTCTTGTCCTGTGTCTTTACTCCTATACCAAAGGGTAACCCTCTCTACCTGTGCCTTAATTCCCATTTTAAGTGCCATCAAGTTGGTTCCTACTCAGAGAACCTATTAGGGTTTCCTAGGAGCAGCTGGTGGGTTTTAACCGCTGACCTTGTGTTTAGCCATCCATTGCTGATCCCACAGCACCACCCCAGGACCCTCTACCACATTCTAATCTTTCTTCTTCCATCAAGCAGCCTCATTTTCAGCTTGCCAACCCCCATCCACCTACTGCCATCAAGTTGATGCTGACTCACAACCCTATATAGGATTTCTGTAAATCTTTGTTGTTAAGTGCCGTCGAGTCGGTTCCAACCCATAACGACCCTGAACAGAGTTTCCGAGGCTGTAAATCTTTACAGGAGTAGAAAGCCTCATCTTTCTCCCGCGGAGTGGCTGGTAGTTTAGAATTGCTGACCGTGCGGTTCGCAGCCCTATTCGTAACCAGCTACAAGAGCTCCTTGTTATTTTTAAGTGTAGTCAAATCCATTCTGACTCACAGCGAAACTGTATAGGGTTTCCAAGGAGTGGCTAGTGCATTTCAACCACCACCCTTAAGGTTAGAAGTCCAGTGCTGATCCGATAGCACCGCTTGAGGCTTTTTAAAGGACTCTAATCTTTATTGAAGCAGAAAGCCTTATCTTTGTCTCATGGAGTGGCTGGTGGGTTTAAACTACCAACTTTGTGGTTAGTAGTCCAGTGCTTACCCTGCAGCACCACCAGTCACCACCAAGTGACTTTTTTTCTCTAAATTTGTGATCATACTTCAATTCCTCCCTTCCTGAGGATCCCTTCATAGTCCTATCCCAATCTCAGGTCTTATCTTTCATCTTATCTTCTCCAGATGCCTCAAGGAAATAACATGTTTTCCACTATTTACATTACTTTTATCTTCTGTTAACTCCTCACCCAAAGGCATGTACTGTCTTCTAATTTCTCTTTCTACTTATACTTTTTCCAAAAGATCATAAGATTGGTTTAAAATTTTTATTAAATGAAAAACCATAGTGTAAACATTTATGTGAAGATTAAATATAATAAATGTTCATACTTAAGTAATTTAATGCATTTTCAATCAGAATTCCAAGTTAAAAAAAAAAGAATTAGCAATTTTAACACTGTTGTTATTGTTAAGTGCCACCTGAGAGGGCTCAGACCCATAGCTACCCTGTATAGGGTTTTCAAGGAGTGAGTAGTAAGTTTGAACCACTGACCTGAAGTTGGAACCAACTTTGCAGTGTAGCTCATTAACCCACAGCGCCACACCAGGACTCCAATTTTAACATTGTTGTTTGTTGTTGTTAAGTGCCGTCGAGTCGGTTTCGACCCGTAGCGACTCTGAGCAGGGTTTCCGAGGCTGTAAATCTTTACGGTAGCAGATCGCCTCATCTCTCTCCCACGGAACAGCTGGTAGTTTCGAACTGCTGACCTTGCAGGTCGCAGCCCGATTCGTAACCACTATGCTACCAGAGCTCCTTAAGATGACGAAAATGCAAAAGACTTGAAAATATTACGGGAAAGAAAGAGGAGGTACTAGGCCTTCCAGATACTAGCTCATATCCTAGAGCAACCGATAACAGTCATACATAAAGTTGTTGTTGTTATGTGCCATGGAGTCGGTTCCGACTCATAGCGACACTGTACAGGGTTTCCAAGGCTGTAAATCTTTACGGGAGCAGAAAGCCTCATCTTTTTCCTGCGGAACAGCTGGTAGTTTCAAACTGCTGTCCCTGAGGTTCGCAGCCTGATTCGTAACCACTACACTACCAGAGCTCCATTATACATGAAGTACTAGTATAAAATAAAAATCAAATCAGTAAAACAAATAAATATATAAGAAATAGAACTGATTATAGAATCATATACTCTCTCTGTAGCGTAGTGCTTACGAATCAGGCTGCTAACCTCAAGGTCGACAGTTCGAAACTACAAGCTGTTCTGCAGGAGAAAGATGAGACTTTCTGCTCCCATAAAGATTTACAGCCTTGGAAACCTTGTGCAGGGTCGCTATGAGTCGGAACAAACTCCAGGGTACTTAACAACAACAACAACAAATAATTACAAAATAACATCAGAAGCTAAGTGGTTTTGATTAATCTATTAAAAGAAAGAAATCATTGACAAAGGGGGAAAATATATATGTGTTTGTGTATATGTATATATATAGTCCTGATATGGCACTGTAGGATAAGCACTGGACCTCAAGGTCAGTTTGAATCACATGGTTGACAGTTCAAACTCACCAGCACTCCTTAGAAACCCTAGACAGGGTTGCTATGAGTCAGAACTGATGCGATGGCACTTAATACCACCACCACTGTATAGTTTTAGTTGCAATTTAATGTCCTTGCAAGTTTTATCAAACATTCCGCCTTATTAAAACTACCTCCTCTTTTGGCTTGATACTGCCTCCTCCTTTTTCACTACTTCCGTTTTAAATGCTTCTTCTTAGTGCACCCTGAAATTGAATGGAAAATTATATGTGTAAATGTGCACAGACAAGAGGTAAATTAAGAACATCCCTGAGGTGCAATAAAAAGTCGATGAGTACCTACACTTCAGAGCTAGCGAGCAATGTAAAGGAACAGAGTGGTCTTAAGATTTTGAATAGAGTACATAACCTGTGGTGGTGGTGGTTATATGCCATGGAGTCGGTCCGGACTCATAGCAACCTTGTACAGGGTTTCCGAGGCTATAAATCTTTACGGAAGCAAAAAGCTTTATCTTTCTGCTGTGGAATAGCGAGTAGTTTCGAACTACTGACCTTGAGGTTAGCAGCCTGACTCATAACCCCTATGCTACCAGAGCTCCTTATATATACCCTGTAGGTTTATTAAAATTTTTGTTGTATTTTGTAAGAGAGTTATGGATATGATGTTATCAAAGAAAGCTTTAAGTTTTAAATCTTTATGATCTAAAGAATGGTAGAACATTTTCAACATTAGGAAATTTCAGAGTGCAAAGACCCAACATTTTTTTTTTTTCTGGTATCAAAACTTTTGACGTTTTTTTCCCTCTCTTAGGGTATCTTTCCTTTTCTTCGACTCTGCAACAAGCCTCTTTAAACTGTTTAAATGAGAATGTCCTTGGCCCAGAGAGTACTACTCACCTGGCTTTTCACATTACTCTTCTTGATCATGTTGGTGTTGAAACTGGATGAGAAGGCACCTTGGAACTGGTTCCTCATATTTATTCCAGTCTGGATATTTGACACTATCCTTCTCGTCATGCTGATTGTGAAAATGACTGGGCGGTGTAAGTCTGGCTTTGACCCTCGACATGGATCACACAATATTAAAAAAAAAGCCTGGTACCTCGTTGTTACTTAAATTAGCCTTCTGCCTTGCACTGTGCGCTAAACTGGAACAGTTTACTACCATGCATCTGTCCTATGTCTTCATTCCTTTATGGGCCTTACTGGCGGGGGCTTTGACAGAACTTGGATATAACGTCTTTTTTGTGAGAGACTGACTTCTAAATGCATCATCTCATTTTTATTGTATTCAACAAGCTATCATTATAAAGTGTTCGGAATATTTACAAGTTTCAAGAATACTGAGAAAAGATACCAAGTGTAGTTTTGTACTACTTCCATAAAATGGGTTTGGTGAATGAATCATGGACTTCTAATTAACCCCAAAATGTAGTTATTCAATATTTGAGTTATTAATGTCCTTATCTATATGTAAATAAAGTTTGTTTTGGACCTACCTCATCTTTCTATCTGACTCCTGAATAATCTATGTATGTGATCAGTATCTTCAGTAAGTTAACAGACAGCTTTTAATTATTGAAGTACTTTAATATAACATGGCCCCAGTGTTACCAAAATAAATGGTACTTGTGCTTCTAAATTATGAAGGGAAAAAACACTAGTTACTGAAATAGTTATGGATGTCACTTCATGTTTACAATCAGAAAACAGGAGAGACCCAGACCATGAAAACAGGCATCCTGCTTAGTAGAGGGTCAGCAAAAAAACGGAAGACCCCCAAAGAGGTGGATTGACACAGTGACTGCAACAATGGGCTCCAAAGACAGTTGGGAGGCTAGTGCAGGACCAGCAGTTTCTCTCCTGTTGTGCAGAGTCCTTAAGACTCCAAGTCCACTCATTGGCACCTAACAATAACAAGTTAATTGTTACCTCTGCCTTCTGTTTGGGACAGCTGAATTAGAAGTGACATGAAATTAGAAACCGCTTCTTCCTAAAGTTGTAAGTGCTGTCAAGTCAGTCACAACTCCTAGTAACCCTGCATAGGCTTTCCAAGGAGTGGCTGGTGGATTTGAACCACCAATCTTGGGTTAGCAGTCCCCATAAATCCTGGTTTGGTCAGGACAGACCACTTTATGCCTGTTGTCCTGGCATCCTAGGGAGTAGTTAGCACTGAACTATCATTTAAAAAGTGTTCACAAGGTCCACAGTTCAAACCCATTAACTCCCCTTGGGAAAATGAAGTTTTCTGCTCCCATAAAGGTTTATAGCCTTAGAAACTATACAGCATTGCTTTGGGTTGAAATCAACTCGATGGCAGTGAGGTTTTGGTTTATTCTTAGGAAGGTCTGGTAGCACAGTGTGTTAAGAGTTGGGCTACTAACCGAAAGGTTGGTGATTCAAACCAACCAGTTGCTCCATAGAAAAAAGATGAAGCAATCTGCTTCCATAAAGATTTCCAGCTTCAGAAACCCTAGGAAGCAACTCTACTCTGTCCTATAGGGTCTCTCTGAGTAGGAATCAACTTGGAAGTGGTGGATTTGATACGGTTTTAACCCTTAGAAAGGAGCCCTGCCATCTAAGGTGTAGCCACTGGTCTCTCCATGTGTTGAAGAATGAAGAGTGATTAAGAACTGAAGAGGCTTGGAATAAATTAGTATAATGGACTAATAGAACATCAGTCTCCATGACTCTGAGACCAGAAGAATTAGATGGTGCCCACCTACCACTATCAACTGTCCTGAATGGAATCACATTAAAGAGCCCTGGATAGAATGGGAAAAAATGTGGAATGAAACTGAAAATTACTTAATTAAGAAATACAGGTTTACTGGTCAGAAAGGGACTGGAAGAGCCTGAGACTATGACCTAGACCACCCTTCAGGTCCAGAAAGTAACTTACCCTTTGGCCCAATTTTCAGCCAAGCAGTTAATAGGTTTATAGGAGGGGTGGGGGCGGGTGTCAACAACACTAGTAAGGTATAATCACCATGGAATAGTCATTCAAAATCAAAAGGGTAACATTTTCCTAAAGACAAAGTTGAGAAGGGATGGGAAGATGGGTGGAATGGAATCCTAGGGAGGAAGCGGGATAACTTGTTGCATGGAAGGAATTGCAATCATTGAGATGAAATAAAGTGTTTGATTTCTTGAATGTAAAGCTGATGCTCTTGTCGGTAAACCATCACTCAATTCACAGTAAAAAGTTTTAAAAAGAAAAAGAAAGGAGCCCTGTTGGAACAGTGGCTAAACACTCAGCTGCTAACTGAAACAAGTTCAAACCCACCAGCTGCTCTGAGGGAGAAAAATGTCCCTGCCAAGATTGTTGTTAAGTGCCATCGAGTCAGTTCCAACCCATAGCGATCCTGTATAGGGTTTCCAAGGAGCAGCTGGTGAGCTTGAATCACCAACTTTGCAGTTCAAATGGCTTTGCAGTCTGGCGCATTAACCCACAGCGCCACACCGGGACTCCAAGATTACAGCTTTAGAAATACTAGGGGACAGTTCTACTCTGTCCAACAGTGTCATTAAGAGTCAGAAGCAACAGCAACAGGTTTGGTTTGGTTTTTCATTCTTAGAAGGGTATTAGTTTGAAAAATTAAATGATCACCCTACCAAGGTTCTTACGAGTGTGGCACTGTAGGATCAGCACTGGTCTGTTAACTACAAGGTCAGCAGTTCAAACCCACCAACCCCTCTTTGGAAACCTTATACAAGGTCGCTAGAAGTCAAAACTAACTAGCAGACACTAAACAAAGATTGGATTGGCATCCTGATGTGGCACTGTAGAATAAACACTGGATTGCTGACCACAAATTTGGCAGTTCAAACCTACCAGCCACTCCTCAGAAACCCTGTGGAGGGTCACTATGATTCTGAACCAACTTTACAGCACTTAACAACAACAGAGATAGGATTGAGAAGGATGCTTGACATGGCAAACTGAATAGTCAAGGCTTAGTCAGATCATCCTACTCTGAAAAATCCAAACTACTTGGTGTGGCACTGTATGCTCAAACTTAGAAACCCTAAGGAGGTCCTCCTTGGAAACCCTAAGGAGGGTCGCTATAAGTCGGAACCAACTCAACAGCACTTAAGAACAACAAACAACTTACCTGAAGTCTGGTGTAGTGCTGTAGGATAATAACTGGACAGCAAGGTCAGTTTGAACCAAAGGTCAGTGGTTCAAACCCATAGGCCGCTCTTCAGAAACCCTATACTGAGTGGAAACTGTCTCAATGGCATTTAACAAGAACAACAACAAACTATTTGGTTTCTGTAATATATCATTTGTTCTGGTTAAGTTCTGTTCAGTTCCGACTCATAGCAATCCTGTACACAGTTCTTGAGGCTAAAAGCCTCCTGTTTCTCCTGTGGAGCGGCTGCTGAGATTGAACCACTGACTTTGTTCATAGTCTAGTGCTTATCGTCCAGAGTAACGCACCCAATCTACCATTGTTGTTACGTGACGTTGACAGTTGTTAAGTGCAGTTCTGACTCATACTGACCTTGTGTAGGTTTTCCTAGGAGTGGCCAGTGGGTTTGAACTGCTGACTTTGCTGTTCAGACAAACGTTGCAGTCCAGTGCTTCTTACAGCGCCATACCAAGACTTCAATAGATTCCAAATAAGAAAGTTTTCATCTCTGAGAAACCAACCAGGAGAATCTAAGTTACAAGTATTCAGGAAAAGCTGTATTCAGTCAAGTGTCATCTAAGTATATAATCGCTCATAAGGTAAACCAAATATTAAAACCACTGTCACTCAGTCAATTCTGAGTCACAGAAACAGAGCAGAACTCCTAGGACAGAGCAGAACTTTATGAGACTGTAATCTTTATGAGGAGATAGCTTATCTTTACCTCACAAAGCAGCTGGTGAGTTTGAACCACTGACCTTGTGGTTAGTGACCCAATACTTACAGTCTCTCAGAGGGAAAAGGGGACAGCACCATGTCAAAGAATCAGCTAGGTCAGGAATCAGAAAACGTTTTCTCTAAAAGGTCATAGAAGGAGCTCTGGTAGCGTAGTGGTTCCAAATCGGGCTGCGAACCTTAAGGTCAGCGGTTCGAAACTACCAGCCGCTCCACGGGAGAAAGATGAGGCTTTCTACACCCGTAAGGATTTACACCCTCGGAAATCCTGTACAGGGTCGCTATGGGTCGGAACCGACTCGACGGCACTTAACAACAACAACAACAAAAGGTCATAGAGTAAGTGTTTGAAGCTTGGCAGGCCACGTGATCTCTGTTGCAACTACTCAACTTTGTAGCAAGAAGACAGTCATACATAACATGTACACAAATGATCCTGCTTCTGTTTTAATAAAACCTTATTCATGTGAAATTTTAGTTGAGATTTGGAAACAGAAGTCTGAAGGAGCATGGTCAGGGCTGTAAAGTGGATGGAGTAAGGTTTCCCATGAAATTCTCATAGGACAATGCTTGTTATCCTCAAAGAATGAACAGATGCATTGCCCAGATATAAGGAAAACTCACCTTCTTTCTTGCCAGTGCAGTTTTAACTTTCCTTAAAACTCCATTATTAGCTCCTGTAATCGTGCTGTGTCCTTTGAGAAAATCTATCAGGATGACCCCTTTGGGTTCCAAAAACCAATCACTATAACCATCTGAGGTAACCTCTTTGCCTTGAAAGTAACTGGCCCAACAAATGATCTCCGAAGCCACTGTTATAATTCACCTTTTATTTTGAAGGTACCCTAATGAAACTAAGACAAGAGTACTACTCAGAGAACTTGTTTGTAGACATCCATTGATCAGAGAGATATCTTTAATCACATTTTGCATGCAATAAACCCGTGCTTGTATGAACAGGGGGGTGGGGGGAAACATTATTTATGGACAGTGAATTTCTTATAATTTTCACATCATAAAATACTACCCTTTTGATTTTTGTGTCAACCATGGAAGCTATAAGAATTCTTAGCTTATTGGCCATACAAAAAATAAGATAGTGAGCTAGATATGGTCCACGGCTGATAGTTTGCTGACCCCTGAACTAGACCCTGAAACAAGCAAAAGAAGAAGTTCTATATGCAATTGCTAAGGGGAAAAGTGAAAAAGTTTCCTCAAGGAAGGGAGAGAAGCAGGTAAGAATTATAGATAAAAGCCAACACAATAACCAATCTTTACAATCAATTTTAATAGTATCTGAAAGATTTCCAAAAAGTAGAACTCTTCCCTTATTTAACTTGATGTGCTGCCAAATGAAACAAACACTTGAAGCAGCCCAATAGGTTACC